CATTAGAAGTCCTCACTTGATTGTTTTGGAATTATTGGTGAGAGGGTTTTTTTCAAGTCATTCAAAATCAGATATCATATTTTTAAACAACACATTAAGTACTTTATCTTAAGATAAATTCTGTAAATGTATATCACTTCACCATTTCCTTAATGTAGGGCTAAGGTCTTTTTTTGAATGTGGGTCTATTGAGTGGGTGCCCTTTGATATTCTTGCACAAACTGTATCTAGAAAGTCTTACCTACACTTTCTACTGACAGGTTTTTTTCAAGTGAACTAAAAGAAAAGTTACTTGCAAATTTGAGTACAGAGTCCTAGAATTTTGTAATCATTTCCCCAAGTTTTTATAATTATTTTTATAATTATCTTGCTTCAAAATTTAGTTGTTTAGCTTTATCTAGTCTTTCAAAAACATTCAACATAGCTATCACTCATTTTTCACTGGTTTATATAATATTTAAATAGTAATTATTATAATAAGCACAGAAGTCCTAAACAGACTTGGGAATAAGCACAGTTGACTCTTGGTAAGTTAGTTACTCTATTGGTAGGAACAAATTGGGACCGTTGGTTAATTTAGCAGGCTGGTTAAATAGAAGTCAATAAGGAAAATGATATGTATTTATCTGCTTACTAATGGTTAATGTTTTTATGCATTATACCGTACACTGTTCATGTAGATTAAATGGTCATTCATAACAGGGACCCATGTCATTTACTGTCTTTGGGGACCCCAATTAATATTTTGCATCTAGTTAATGCTTAATATATTCACATTATTTACAGCTGCTGTGGCTCTGGTCTTTTCTCCACCCAAGGAGTCTGAATTCTTTTTCAGTTATCCATATCTAAATATGTTCAAAAATCTAACTTAGGTTCTTGGTCCTCATAGACTTTTGTCAGGATTTCAGCTCACAACATAGCTCTTGAAATATGCTGTTTTGGCACTGGCAATATAGCTCAGAGGTAGAACAATTACCTAGTATGTACAAGGTTCTGGGTTCAATTCCTAGGACCACAAAAAATATGCTACTTTTGTACTGGCTTCCTGCTGATTCTTAGATGTACTTTCCCTACACTGATTCTTGAATGAATTTTTTGCCCATGTAGATTAACTCCCTGAAAGGGATCATGTTTATACTTCATAGGAACCTCCCAGAATATAGATTCTGTGATGGTTACCTTGTTGATAATCATCAATCACTTTTCTAGTGGTTGATAGTGATTGACTAGTCCAAGGTAGCCAGTCACCTGTTGGATTTGATGGTACCAAAAAAAATGATTGTTCATTAAGGTTGAGATTGGCAATGGGCAAAATACTACAAAAAAGGGAATAAATAGGAATATAGATGACCCAGTGGTTCTGTGACTTTAGGTAAATTATTTTCCTTCCATGTCTACATGGATAGAATGGGAGACTAAACTATATCACTGGCTCTTACGATTTAGGATCATAATTATCTATAAGAATTTGATAAAAACAAAGGAGCCTTTACTTAGAAAATGAAATAAGTACTTACATATAAAAATCCTACATATAACTTCTGGAAGTCCTCAGATACTTAGATCAAATGATCTCTTAAGATCCCACCCAGCACTGATAACTAGGCTGGATTCTAACATTACCAATAGGAAGTACTTCTTCCTTCCAAAATGAACCAGTGATGGATTTGATTACTTGACTTGATTAATTGGATTTTGATTAGCCATTGGCAACCACATCATGTATGCCCTACCCAAACTATACTGCATAAACACTAAAGGCTGACCATCCATCTCTATCTGGGATGGCAGTATATTCTCAGTGAACTTCTCTTTCTCAGCCCTGGTCATTGTTGGGGAGAGTACCGGGACAGTGTTGCTATGGAGACTTGACAGGCAACCTTGTAGTTAGGATAAAATGATTTTCTTGAGTCAAAGAAGATAAAGCTATTGCCGAGGATGATTTAAGACAATACTCTGCCTGGTTATCTCTCTCAGCCTCACCTTTGTACTTTTGTATCTCAAGAGAGTCTGAAAGCATTCAAATGGAAAACCCATGGCAAAATCAGAGGCAAAATGTGAAAGGTTTTGAACTGGGATTCAATCTGCATGAGCTTTTCTCTCACACTATATAATGAAATTAAATGTTAATGATTGCAGTCTCTTATTCATGGAAAATAGTTTCTTTCCTGCATGAAATGAACAATAAGTGCAAAAATAATCTTCTTTAGTTTTGCTGTAACTTTTGCATGAAGATTGTTGCAAATATTTGCAGGTAGCCATGGGTAAACATCAGCACATTCTGAGAACAGATATGAGTTATTTCTTCTACAAATATCACAAGAGAGTTTTATCTAAAGATCACATCTTTTCTGACTTTACTTTTAGGTGTCCCCTGTGGCTTTCCTCTGTGAAGTGATTTTGTTCTAATTTGAGTTTGTAAATGTGTTTCCGTCAACTCACTCAACATTTTCTCTTTGATGATAAAGTTAGTTTACATGAGAACTCCTTCTTTAGGGAAAGAACATCAGGAAAGAGAAATTAGTCCTTCCTCCAGTGGGCCTGCCCTGTGAACTTGATTTTTTCCAACACGTGATTTTTTAGGAGGTAGCCACTCACAAACTACTCCTTGGCACGGTGAGACTGAGGAAGCATCTATTTACTGAGCTTTCAATTATGTCTGCTCATGAAAACCTCGATGAACACGTATTATTGAAATCAGGTCCATGAAGGCCTCTGCTTATATTTCCTTACCTGGTGAGTTTTTCATAAAGGACAAGCATCAACCTCTTTTCTTCCTACCTTCCGCTGCATGTTCTCTCTCACGTGTGGAATACAGACCTAATACAAATGCAGCAATACTATGCAATGCTGGTCACACTAAGGGGAGGTCACACGTGGGAGGAGGAGGGTAAAAGAAGGAAATGAAGAACTTGAATTGGTTGATGGATTCTCTATACAAGAATGAATGTAGAAATCTTAAACCAACTGAAACTACCATAAGAAAGGGACTAAGGAAGAATGAAGAAAATGAGAGGGAATAAACCAAGTAGGGTTATAATACATATATACATGGAAACATCACAAGGAAACTCCCTGTGTAGATTCCTCTACCTCAAACAAACATGTTTTTTTTTTCTCTTTTCTCTTTTTTTTCTTCTGCAAAATCGGAGAACAGGAGGACAGAATAGGTCCTGTGGGAGTTGGGGGGTGAAGGGGGGTTGGCACAACTGGGGAATGGGGTCGGGGTAAAGGGTAGGAGGATGAATACGGTGCAGATAATGTGTACACATGTATACAAATGCAAAAATGATACCTGTTAAAACTGTTCCAGGAATTGGGAGAGAAAGAGATAAAGGAGAGCAGGGGAGGGGGTAAATTCAACTATGATATATTTGATACACTGTAAGAACCTTTGTAAATACCACAGTATCCCCACCCAGTACAACAATAAAGGAAAAATAAATATCAGCAGGCAAAAGCATTTAACAGTAGAACAACTGAGAGGTGGCTAGGGAACAAGGTGAAGGAGGGAGTGTAGTCTGTGCTCAACATCACCCCAGTTTTCAAGTAATATCAAAGATCTTCTTAATCTAACCTTCTTCTTAATCTAACCTCTTCTTCAATCCAAGTCCATTTCTTAGCTATGTGACCTTAGGCAAATTTCTTATCTGTTCAGTGCCTTAGTTTCTTCCTCTGCATTAAAAAAACAAAATAGTAGGGAGTTTAATATTAGTTTGGGGTCAGTAAATGAGTTAAGGTGTTAGAACAATGTTTGGTACACTTGATAAATGGTAGTTTTTATTAACACTAACCCTCCAGTTAGGCCATTCTTACCATCTCCTGCCTATATACTGTCATTCCCAATCTTCATCTTGCAATTCTTATTACCCACAATGCTCTTCTTTCTCCCGTCCTACTAGGAGGTCCATAAAGAACTGTCCAAGAGACATGCTACACAAGCCTGTAGGAAAGTTTATATTTTCTAACTGTGGCATTAAGAAGATAACAAGAAATCAGAAAACTTTCAATAAAATATTTAACATCTGTATACAAAATTTTATCATCTTAACCTGCATCCAATATGAATGTAAAGTCAATTTTACACTTACAAAGGAGATACATTACATTCCTTTTTTCTCCAAAATCCAGTGTATATTTTATATTTTTTTCTATATCTCAAATCAGACTAGCCACATGTCAAGTGCTGAGTAGCCACATGGGCTAGATAGAAGTATGGCATTGAACATGCAGGTATCCAGTGAGCACACAGCTGAGGGTTACTTTCTCCTTATATAAAGGCTAGCACATACCGAGTGTTTACAATGTATTGCCAGGCCCAATACTAAGGATGTATATTTCATTTAATCATTATAACAATTCCCTTAGGTAGGTACCTTTATTGTTTCCATTTTACAGATTGGAAAACTGAGACTTGAAATTAAGTAGCAGCTAGAAAGTAGCAAAGCAGAGCTGGAATTTGAATTTCCTCTGCCCAACTCTAGAGTTTGTACTCTTACCTTGTGTATGCTGCCTCTCAGAAGGACATGTGAAAATTTAACAAGTTGACACAGATGTACAATTTTATTAAGAGTAAGACTGTCCATGAACAGATTCTTCTTGGGTTCTCTCATGACAGATTGTGCAATCAGTCACCCTATAAAACTTACATTTATTTATCTGTGAACAGATTGTGAATAGATGGAATCTGTGCTCTCCTGACCTCTGGGGATGGGGCTGCCAAGGGAATGCTTGCTTATGAAACATCTGGAAAATGAACTCTCTTGTGTGGGATCTCTTCATTGTGGTCAAGGCCATGCAAGCAAATGCAGATGGTCTCTAAACAGTGCTTATAACTGGCCTTAAAAAAAAATCTACTTGCTTTTATTGGCAGAAGCCTACAGATGATGACCTATGATTTAAAATCAGGACCACTTTCAGATAGGATATGTTAACTCATTTTTATGAGGATTGCTTCCAGAGTTCAAATGCTGTTGTTAGTTTACACAACCAGCTAGCTTCCCTTCCCTATGGTATTTCTGAACTATTGCTGCTGCTTCTTTTTTTCACCAATAAAGGCCAGATTTGGACAAGAGTTGGACCATAATCCAGGAGCAGATCCAGATGGACTCCATGGTCATCAAGGGCCTTGATCCAGATACCAACTACCAGTTTGCTGTGAGGGCTGTGAATCATCACGGACCCAGTCCACGAAGCTGGCCCAGTAACACCATCCGAACACTTGGTGAGTCCTGTGTCGTCGTTCTTCACGAGAGACATGTGCAGGTGCACTGCTGGGGATGCCTCTCAGAGACTTGCTTGCCAGGGGCTTCTTAGTTCCCCACAGAGGGACAGCCTGGGATGGGGCCTCTTCCCTCAGTTTCCTAGCCCTTTGGAAGTTAAGACTCTCAACTGGGACACAGGCTATTTCTGTGTCCAGGAGGTCAGTGGAAGGTTTATTTTTGCATCATCCTTGGGGAGTTTGGGGTCAGCCTTCGTTCATGATCACAGGACTGACCACATGGAAAAATGATGTGTGGTCCCTCCAGCCTCCCTCTCATCTTTTGAGAAAATGAGTTCATCTTAGAAACAGAGGAGAGAAAATTAAAGGCCCCCAGACTCTCAGATGTGCAAGCAACCTCAGCCCCTCTGGATGATGGTCAGGTAGTACTGAAGAAGTCATGGAGTGCTAGCATGTAGCCTGGGGGCCAGGTGATGGTGTGTTCTCATGGTGCCTCTCAGGGGAAAGCTTGGGCCACTGTTCATCAGATCAACTGAGGATTTTCTTACAAGTCAGACTCGGTCTCTGGGCTGGGATTTAACAAGCTGTCACATGATAACAAAAAAGCATATTTCTATCGGAAAGGCTCAGACCACTTTCCCAAACCCAGTCCAGCTTAGAAATCTTTGTATTTTGGAAGGGGGGGGTTCACATTTTCATAAACCTAGAACCTTGCGTAGTAGGGAGATCTCAGAACTGAAATGCTGGCACATTTTTTGTTTGAAGAGTCTAAATCATTTCAGTTTGGCTCATAAATACCTCCAGAAGAGCTCTGCTGCTACTCTGGGTCCTCTTTACTCCAGAAGGCTGCTCCTGGAAAGAAGTTTAGCTTGCTAGTTGGCTTCCCATTGGCCTGACACAGAGCCTTCTTTTTATGTTATGGATCTGACTAACCTCCTCCCATTCCTAACAAAACACTCACACAGCTGACGTCCATCAAGGCTAATGCTATTCAGGGTAGAAATTCACATGTTTCACAAATCCTAGAACTTGGGCTCTTCTGAAAACTACTCTCACTCTATAACATTGAATGTTAGGTTTCTTTTCTTCTGATTTAATTGTTGGGGTGTGGTGAGGATGCTACACCTCCAACACACACACACATTCTTTCTCTCTCTCTCTCCAACCTGCCAGCTACTCATTGTTTCCCTGCTCCCCAAACATATGCCAGGGAATGAAACTCCTTCATAGAGGCAATCTTAATCATTCCACTTCAGAGGCAGACCTCCTTCTATTCTTGCTAAATGAGATCTACTCTGTCCTTTTAGGTTGCTCTCTGTGATGTATGACCAAAACATGGAGCAGTGGCAGCTATGAGTTGACTGAGCTTTTAAACAGTTTGTCTTTTTGTTTTGTAAACTAAGCACTGTGTATTGTGCACCCAGCCCAACCTCCCCACTTCCAACCTTGAGCTCCTCTACTCTGTTCTCACTTCCTTCCATCTTTCCCTCAGTATTCCCTCATCCCTGGAAATAAAAAGAAGAAAAATGAGATATAACAACTCGTGGTGACCCTGATCCTGGCTTCTAGAACCAGGAAAGAGTGGGTAGGGACATCCCTTATACTTTTTCTTTTTTAACTGAAACACTTGTCTGAATTTGGAGTTTCTGATCATTATTTCCCTATTTTTGTGGCTTAAGTGTGACAAAGCATGCAAAAGTGCTTTACAGATATGTAACATTTTATTATAATTGGTCTCTTATGAGAAGTAAAATTTTATAATTTCAAGATAATTTATGTGCAGATGAGGTGTACAAAGCCAAGATAATTCAGTGAAATTCTTCCTTATGGGCTATTCTTAAATACTGTTATTTTGCTTCCCAAACACATTTTTTCCATAGGCAAAATTGTTCAATTACCAAATAGCATTATTTGAATTGTGACGGATTTGAAATATCAGAACTAACATTTGGGAAAGCTTGCTATGAGGCAGGCTTTCTGCATAGCACTTTGCGTATGAAATCCATTTAATCCTCACAGAACCCTGTGTTGGAGGAATGGTTACCTCTTTTTATACATGGAAAAGAAATAAGTCTTTGACGGTTGCATATTTTGCCAAGACTGATAAAGGCAGGATTTGAGGTTGGTTTGGCGGACTGCACAGCTACTTCCCTGAGTGAGATAGACAAAGGTTATTATTCCTCTAACACAGAGTAGCCAGGGAATGGCTATGGTCAACAACTGAGTGAAGGCCCAGGGACGGTCCAAGTAGAAGGATGACAGAGGAGGCTCTGGCAACACGTAATACAACCTGCAAGAGTTGATTTCTTTTCCTTTTTCTTCTTTCTTTTCTATTTTCTTTTGCTTTTAAAGCTTGAGAGGTATTTTATACATGTGGGTAAAACAAATGTGGGAGCTGAAAATCAACCTATATGCAAGGGGACAGCCCTGGTAGCATACAGCCCACGGTCCTCCTCGTTGGCTGGACCCACACCACGTCAGTGAACTATTTTGACCAACACCTTAAGTGCTTGTTGGGCTTTTCCCATTCTCCCTGTTCTCTTTCCTCCCCATCTGTAAGAATGATTGTTTGATTCCATGCTCACTTTGCTTCCTGAACAGCCAACTTTAGAATAGAAAGTTCTAGAAAACTTGGGAGGTCTAGTGCCTAATGGGAGCCTTAGATTTCACTGATAGATATCACTGAGGTCCTGCCTAACCCCACCCTCTTTCATAAGGAAAGCTAATACCTAAGCGTTCTAATGAGGGAAGCATTTACTTCCTACTGGATGCATTAATGCCACACCCTATTCACAACTTAATTACCTCCTAAGACAAGAGGAAGATCTTACCTGCTCTCTGGCAGGTAAGTGAAAGAAGTCCAGAGCCCAATGTTTTCCTCAGCTGGCGCTCAGCCAAAGTGAGGGCCAACGGTGGCTTCACTGGAGTCTTGAGACGGATGAGCATTCTCCACACCTTATCTCATCTCCACAAAAACACAAGTAGAACAGAAGAAAAAACAAAACAAAACACAAGACTTCAGTGTCCAGTCTTCTAAAGAGACATCGGATCAATTTGGTCACTTTCAATGATAGTGATGCTACCCTGTATTTTATTTCCATTCTCTCTTGGGAGACTTTCAACACAATTCAGCATCTATTTTGCTTCCTTGATAAAAGAACACCAAAATCACAATCTCTCACTCTTTACCCTCATCCTGCTATATTTTTCCCCCAACAAAGAAAAAACAGCAATATCGTAACTTGCCTTTGATATTGTAAATTAGCCAATTGGTGGGTAGGACATGCATCCATTCCATCAATTGGTCACTTAGCCACTGAGATCCAAGCTTAGCTCAGTCAGAAGCATAGAGGCAGGTTATAAAGGACATGAACAACAAATAATAGGGGTTTATTTATTTATTTTGGTGGTGCTGGGGTTTGAACTCAGGACCTCATACTTGCTAGGCAGGTGCTGTTACCACCTGAGCCATTTCACCAGCCCCTACAACAAATAATAGGAAGGCAGAGATTCAATAACATATGTGTGCACTCAACTCTAGGATTATATAACCTTTCTTGGAAATAGAATGTGATCCACCCAACCTTAACTATCTAGTTTCTAGTGCTTTATCCTTACAGTATAGGCAGAGAAAGAAAATAAATACTTACTGCAGTGATCTGGTATCCTCAGGGCGGTCCCCAGCAGAAGGTATTCTTTTTGGCTTTTTTTTTTTTTTTTTGTCAGTACTGGGGATTGAACTTAGGGCCTCATGCTTGCTATGCAGGTGCTCTACCACTTGAACCACATATTTTATTCTTTCCTGCCTTACCTCAGGGCTTTGGTACCTGCTGTTTCCTCTTCTTGGAACGCTCTTCCCCAAGATCTGTCTGTGACCATGACTGTCCCTCCCTTTCTTCTTTCAGACCATGGCTCACACCAGGTCACTTCCTCAGACAGGCTTCCATCATCTCAGCCTTATCACCCTGCTTTATTTTCTCCCTAGCACTTTCACTGCTGTGTTCCCAACACCTTACCCAATGTCAACACTGAGTAAGTATTGAGGACATGGGTGAGCTAGTGTAACTTGGCCAGTCAAGAGTTTATGACTACTTTGGAGATTAAGGAACTCCAGGAAATTCAAAGGGGAGACAGGGATCTAGAAACCCACCTGGGCTCCAAGTAGGCTTCCCATTGGTAAGACTCATAGGCAAAGTCGAACTCCCAGAACTGCAATGTGACAAAAATAAGGAAAAGCTAAATAGACTAAAGGGGAGCGGGGAGAAGGAAGGGAGGGAAAAAGCGAACCCAGTGAATTTAGATTCAAGGCAGTAAGGATGGGAAAGAGGCCTTCCAAAGAGATCCTAGTGATGAAAAGAGTACAATTTGCTGATGAGGGCAATGGAGGAGGGAGAGACATTTTCAACCTTCCAAACTAAACCTTATTTTTTGATCATTTAGAATAGCTTCAATATTTCTTTATCACCTTTTCCCTCTGGTCCTCATCAGTCTCATTATGGTCTCAGATTCTTGGGGATTACATAGAGATTTTCTTTTTTTAAACAAAAATCTCCCCAAAATCTTATTTCTTCTACAGTTTCAGAAACTTACTCTTCCACTGAACTGAGACAGAGCTGCCTGGCCAAATCAGTCAACTTTCACACAATAAATCTTATCCCCTGCACCCTCCCACCCCACCCCACCTGTCTTCTCTATACCTTGCTGCTCCGTCAGGTGTTACCCTGTGCTCTTGTGGTCAGTTGTGTCTGTCTGTATCTTTTTTCACACAAGTATCATGTGTGAATCTGGCTTTTGCTCAGCTTTGCTCTGAGATTGAGCCCTTGCTTTTTAATACCCTGTCTCCCCAGAGACCAGATTCAGCATGCTAGGGTTTTCAGGTACATGTTGTCACATAAGTAGCCAAAAAAATAGGTTTCCTTTATCATCAGTCACAAACAAGGATTTCTGGTTAGAAACAGAGCCCCTGAATTGGCTGCAACAGAGAGCAGAGGGAGTCAATCAGG